CGGCTCGGTGACCGTGACTGAAAATACCACCAATATTGCCAGCGGTTCCCTCAGCAATGTGCGCATATGACCTCGCGCGTTCAAGTAGAGAGTCAAACTGTTGCTGGTCTCTCGGCATGTGGTGGTTTAGTGGCTGCAGGAATAGCTGTGCAGGCGATTGCTCCACTCCAAGGGCTCCGAAAAAAAAAACGACCTTCTAATATGTGGAATTTGGGAATGTTAAAACCTGCCGATTCCGCTTCATAGCGGGCTACCTCGAAGCGCACCAACGTCTGGTCGATCCGTTCTCCCGCATGGACTCGGAAGTCGATGAGAGCTGTACCAGAGTTGAGTTGGCGCTCCTCCTCTAGATTCTCGAACTTCGTACTTAAGAGGAACGTGATGTAGGTGACGCCGTCGGTATGGCGGACACCTATGTTAACACCAAAATTGATAGCGGCTGCGGGAACTCTCATGGCTATGGTCCGCGCGAGGCCTCCACAACCTCGCTGCAGGGCTGCAGCTTGTTGGGATGGCGCCATGTTGCCTGTGTCACGTTGATCCAGGCATGTACCTCGCGGACGAAATTCGCGGAAAGGTACTTGACCAGCCGGGTCCCAATGGGGGCCGGTCGTTCTTGTGTCGTTTCCGCCACGCACATGTCACATGTCCTACCGCGCACCCGATAGCGACCCATGCGAGCCCGAAGATAATAATACCAATCCAGTGGCCTCGGAGGTCGTGGTCGGATGTAGTCGGTTGGGATTTTCGAAGTGTGGTCGTAAGCCTGCGTGGGGGTGGAGGCGGCACAATGTCGTGTAGCATGTTTCCATGCATTCTGTCTTCGAAGAAGCTTCCAAGTGGAGTAGGTGGGTGGACTTCAGGAGTGTAGTAGCGCAGGAATGTAGGACGAAAGTAAGAGGCCTCCGCGTAGGCAGAGGTGCCACTGCAAGTGTCCTCGCTATGCTGAGTCGTTGTATACATTCCTCCGCGCAAACCCACTGCACCCTGATATTCCACCACGTCTGTAGTCCACCAGAAAGTGCCGTGGATGGTGAGGAGTAGAGCGGGAGCTGACCACCATAGGCCAGCTCCGCTACCAAGTTTGAAAGGGGTTGGGAGGCCCAACCAGCACCTTCGCCTTAGGCGAATCCAAGCTCCCGCTCTGTTGTACCGTAGCAACGATAGTCCCAGTAGTAGGGGGCGGGCCATCTCAAGCAGTGTTGGTATCGGTGGCAAATGGTACACCTCGCGCTGAGGTGTAGTCATATCTGGGCGGCCGGCCGCTTTGAGCCAAGCAGCCGCGGATGCGCGCTCGTTCCCACTCACATGCAACGCCCAGCTCACTTTACAGTCACACACGCACACAGACACACACACACACGCACGCACACAGACACAGACACAGACACAGACACAGACACAGACACAGACACAGACACAGACACAGACACAGACACAGACACAGACACAGACACAGACACAGACACAGACACAGACACAGACACAGACACAGACACAGACACACACACACACACACACACACACACACACACACACACACACACACACACACACGCGCGCGCACAAACAGACACACCCACACACACACACACTTTTTGGCGATCGCGGCCACGTGCGCAGCGACGAGGCGGAGCAAGTCGAGCAGTCGGCAGCGAAATAAACTAGGGCGCGCGGCCGGGCTCCCAGACGCGGAGTAGGATAAATGAGGCAGCGTCCGAAGACGGAGACGGGGGTACCCGACAAGCGACACGCAGTGTCGCAAGACGGAAACGGGGGAGACGGGGGTACCCAAGAGGGGGGGTACCCAAGAGAAGGGGGTACCCAAGAGAAAGGGACGACGGAGAGTGAAGGCACCACGCAGTCCCAAAGTGGGGGGACGGGGTGAGGAATCAGCGACAGAGCGGAGCTGCGACAAGGGGAGCGGAGCCCCCAGTCAGCGCCTGGAGCGAGGGGCAGAACGACTCGGCCGCGAGAGGTTTCGGGAGGGGCCCCGCTTCTGCTGCGAGCTGGCCGCCCCCACATCGCCGGCTGACCCAGGATGCGAGATCCTGGCTGGGAGCTGGGCCAAGCAGAAGCTGAGCTGGTCGTCCGTGTAGAAGTCGGGGTCCAACATGGGCCCCACGCCATCGCCCGCGAATAAACCGTCAACGATGGCCCAACCCTCCCAAAAAGAGCGGCACGCGCGGCGCGGGGCGCGTCGACCGCAAGAACGGGAGACTCTGACGAAAGAACCGCTCGTTCGCGCTGGCGGGGGAGCACGCCCCCGAGGGCCCGCTGCAGGAGCGGAGAGGGGCCCCACCCGGAAGGCCACGAGTAACAGAGGGGTACTCGACAGCAGGGTCCTTGGGTTGGTTCATCGAGGCCAGGGGGGCCGGCGGAAACGGGCCCCTCGGGGGCCCACGCGCGGCGGGGGGCGCCGCGACGACCCCGGAAGGCTCCGCGACCAAGGTGGGAAGCACAGGGGGCCCTGCTGCCGACCGTGGCGCTCGGGCTGGCGACGATACCGGGGTGGGGAGCCCCTCGCCGTCGGGCAACGCCAGGACGGGAACAGAGCTGGGTGTCGTGCGAGACCGCGGTGGCGCCAGAAGAGGCGCCAGCCGCCTGATGCTTCAGGGGGGTGGGGGCGGGCCTCGGTGGGCCACCCCCGAGTGGGCCAGGGCAAGCGGACCCCGCGGGGTCTCGGTGGGGCCGAAGGCCATCTCAGGGCCGTGCGGGGCAGGGCGCGACGAGGTCTCGGGAGGGCCCGCCACCCAGCCAGGGCGGGGACCCCAGGGGTAGCGCAAGCGTGTGGGCGCAAGGCCCGGCAGGCTGCGTGCCAGCGTCGGCGGGGCTGGGGGCAAGTGGGCAGGGCCTGGGGGCCAAGGATCCCGAGGTCGGATCCCCGCTGAATCCACGAGGCCACTGCAGGCCGGCCAGCGACGCCCAAGGGGCCGCGGCATCCAGGGAGGCGAGGAGCGACGGGAGGGACCTTCCCAGTGTGAGGTCGCATCCGGCTCGGGGCTCGCAGGCGGGCCCAGAGTGAGCGCACAGTGGACGCCGGAATGAGCAGACTGTAGAGCTTTACGCTTGTCGGTCGCTCGCAGCTCGGGCAAGAAGCCGCTCGGGCGCTCAGAGTCAAACCGTGTGAAGGACGGCCAGCCCTTCGGCAATGGCCAGGAGGCAGCGAGGCAGGGAGCCTGGGCAGGAGCGGGGCTGGCAGCAGGGGCGCGGCGACGGGCGCCACGCCAAAATCAGGCGCGGGGCGGGTCAGAGGAGGCGCGACCACGCAAGGCGGGAGCAACCCCGGAGGGCAGCAGGGGGAGGCAGCCAGGGGCTGCGCGCCCCGCGCCAGGGTGGCGGGGACGAGCGGGAGAGGGGCGGGCGAAACACACACACACACACTTGTTCTGTCGCCTGGCTACCCGACGCAAGGGCAGGGACACCCCTGCGTCCTAGTCGTTGCGCTGCATGCCCTCTTCCTGTGTGGAGCACGGGCTGCCGTCGGGAGAGACTTGCGTCCTCTGGCTGCGCCCGTGCATCCACTCCCCGAGAACCTACGGCTGGAGCCGTGCAGACCTCTGGCCGGGTCGATCCGTGAGGGCCCCGGGGCCCGAAACCAGGCGAAATCGCCCAGAGTGAACAACTTGCAACGCCCTGGATCCTAGATCGCCTCGTTTCGCGCCCCGCGATGCGCGACGCGTGGTCATCTTCGCGCCCTTGCGCAGCCTCCTGGAGAGTGACCGCTCAGAGGCCCAGGCCGCGACGCGCGAAGCGCGGTCATCTTCGCGCCCCGAGGGTGACCTACGAATCTCAAGGTTCGCTCGACCCGATCCCTGCGGCCTTCTCGGAAGGCTCTGAAGGCTTCCAGCCGTCTGAGAAGCTTTCTACTAAGCCTTCTCTGGATCCACGGGAGAGCCTCTCAGAAGGCTGGAGGGCTTCTGAGAGGCGCCGACGCCTTTTGACAAGCCCCGCCCCCTCACACTTCGCCTCTCGGCGCGCCGCCGAAAGAGCGGGTACGAGAAAGCCAGCTGGCAGATCTGTTCCTGCGCGAGCCTCGGCCAGAGAGCATCGAGGTTCAAGGTTCGAGGGGCGAGCGTCGAGGTTCGAGGATCGGGGTCATCCCCTGGCCTGACCCCGCAGCCCCTATAGCTCCAGCCTCGATCGATCATCGACCCTGGATCCTCGAGCATCGATCCTCGACCCTCGGCCCGCGCCGAGTCTTCTCACCTGGCACGCCCGAAGAGGAGACGGGCAAAACCGGCATGATGCCTTGGCAAAGGCGGAGAATGAGGCGAGAAGGAGACTGTTGGCGTGAATGATTGACGGTAGTCAAGGCTGAACAGGGGAGTCGGCAGGCAACCCTGTCGTAGGACCGTCCTCGCCCGTTCCTCCCAAGCGACACGAAGGCGCAAGCGCGGATCAAAGAAATGTTGCCCAACGCAACAGCAAGTGTCGTCCAAAAACTGACCGCGGCCGCTGGTGGGAAGACGACTACTGCCTCAAAATGGACCACGCCCGCGGCGGCACTGGCAGCGAGCCTGGCTCAATGTGGGCAGGAACCGCAATCGTCGTTCGTCCCCGTTCCTTTCCGTACCCGTTTCGATCCTCCCGATTCCATCCCAAGCGACTCTTCGGGTTTTGCTAGAGACCCTCCACATGGGTTCCAAGGATCGCGTCGATACATCGGCGACGTCGGCGTGAAGAAGAAAGGCCTCCACATCGAGCCGCATCCGCGGTGCGGCGTGATCCTCTGATCCCATCTGCTCGGATATTGCTTGGGAGGCATGGAGAATTCTTCCCAGCCCTGGAGCTCGGAACGGACACCGAGTGTCAGAAAGCTGTGACACAGATGCCCCGGAGGTCCCGACCGCGTCTCCAGGACGAGTGTTTCGTCCCGGACCCACGTTTGATCACCCCCGGGCCTGAACATGGCCCACGAGGGCCGAAGTCCATGACGGAACGTTCCAGGCCGAGAGACATCACGTCGTCGGAGACCTGGGCCCCCCACCCAGCCGCACTCGCTGTCCGACACGTCGCCCGCCGGGGTCTCCCGCACGCCCTTCTCCTACCGGGGGCAGGAGAGCACCCCCACCCCCACCCCGCTCCCCAGAGGGGTGGGCCAGGTGTGGGCGGGGTGCACTCGCTCTGTCCTTTTCGCGAGACATCCTCACCAGGAGCCAGCACTCTTCGGCCTACCCTCCGAGGGGGGAGGGGGGCCCAGGTGGGCGGTGGAGGTGCGCGTTCTTTCCCCCATTCTCCGTGGCGTCTGCCAGGCGCATAATCTGCCCGATGCCCTCGAAGACCTGCGGGCGCTGGGGCGCACCGTGCTCCCGCGCGGCGCATGCCCCACGGAAAGGAAGCTCAAATGTGGAACAGCGTTAAGACGAAGTCAGGACGAGGAACAGTCCGCATGAGGATCTTTCCCCCCAACGGCTAAAGAATAAACTCGGGGAGACTTATGCGGCCCAGCCGGAGGATATATACGTCAAAGGCGAGTTCCACGGCTTGGTTTTTGCCCAGTTTGGGGACGAGGCCGGCAGGGACAACGCAGCGCACACGATCCGCAAGAAGGCTTTCAAGGTGGGCGGCAACACGGTCTGGGCCAAACCGGATAAAGCTCTGCCGGAGAGGATCGTGAACTCGTTCGACTTTGGATCCAAGCGGATGCTGAAGGAGTGGGGCTACGCCAGCACCAGCGTCTGGGCCGACCCTGTGGAGGGCAAGGTATGGGTCGGCAGCGAGGTCGCGCTGCAAGTGACCATCGACGGCTGCACGCTGAAAATGGAGTATGGCCCAGGCTGGGAGGACTGGTTGACCCAGGCCGATTTCCCTCAGTTCCCGGAGATGGTCAAGACACTGCGGGATAAACTGCAGAGGTTCCCAGCCAAGGGGATCGGCAAAAACGACCCCCCAGGGAAAGAAGGGAAGGGGAAAGAGTCCCACTAGGGACTTGCAAGGCGCATCGGCTATCAGCACCCTGGCTCCAATTTTGGGCATGGAAGCTTAGACAAAGCTTTACCGCGCAGATCCGAGCCAGGCGTTTCACCATACGTTTCACAACCTTGCAATCACCATCAATACCATCAACACTATCATAACGCACCCGTTCTTGGTCTTCATTTTGTTGAGCAAGAGGGGCGTGCAGGACATTTCAGAGACACTCAAAGAAAATGTCCTTGTAATGTCACGGCCGTTGCCTCGTGGAATGTGGAAGGCATGCGTCTGGACAGCGATTGCACGAAATTTGAGCAGCTGGTAAAGGCCATGGAGGTGAGAGGGATCGCAGTGCTTTGCTTGCAGGAGAGACACTTGTGCACAGCCCCTCACTTTGAACACAATGGGCATTTTGTCATTTTGTCGGGGGGCCCAGCAATGTTCGCGAGCACGCAGGGGTGGGCTTCGTGGTTGCTCCTTCCGCCAGGAGTCCAGCAGGCTTGCTAGCCTGACGCTTCTAGTCCCAAGCGGCTCCATGTCTATCATTACTGCGTACTGTCCGCAATATGGTCTTGAGTTTGATGTGCGCCACGACTTCCGTAATGACCTTCACAAATTCATTTCTCGTACCAGGCCTCACGGACCTTTGTACGTTTTTGGTGACATGAACGCTCGTTTTGGCCCGGCGTGCGAGCTTGCAGATGTTGTCGGGCCACATGCTTGGGGGCCTACAGGCACTACGACCGACGCTCGCAGCAATTAGAACATGCTCGTCGAAGTTTGCACTGCACTCCACATGGTTCTTTCCAACACGTTCCTGGACAAACCAAATGACCAGAAAATGACCTATTATGACCTTTGGGCTACGCCGGTTTCGGAGCTCACGCCGCAGAATTTCGCCGAGATCGACCACTTGATTGTGGAGCGCAGGTGGCAGGACACGGTGCGAGAGGTCGGGGCGGAACGGTCGATTGGATTCTCTTCCCACCACTTCCTCGTCGTTGCCCGGCTTGCCGTGGAGATTCCAAAAACCTCTCCAAAGACGGCGAGGTACACCTTGGATTTGGCATCACTCACCCAGGAGAACGTGAAGACGCGTTTCGTTTCGGAATTCTTGCACCAGGTCGGCGACAGCGAGGCTATTGGTGCAGAAACTGTGGACGAAGTGGCTGCCCGGGTCAATTCTGGCAAGCAAACTGGCCCTGGATACGACAGCGCAACTTGAAAATGATAGGACAACGCAGCCAAGCTCGCGTGGCCAGCCATGTTGATAGAGAGATTTCGTTGTCACAACAGATCAAAACATCAGCGAAACAAGACCGGGAATCATGGCTGAACGACATGCTTTCCAATGAGGATTGGAAAAATTTGAGACAGTTCAAACGGAGAGGATTCAAGCGATAAGGATGGCTTAGCGACGCAAGTGAACATCTCGTCGGGAGTGATGAACGCGCTGGAACCATGGCAAAGTATTACGCCCCAGTGCAATGGAAACCGCCGCCGCTGGGCAGAGCTCTTCCACACGGGGACAAACTTGGCCCGGTGTTGCCTCTGCGGACGGGCGATTTCTCCAGCGAGGAACTGTCAGCAGTACTTGCGAAGTTGCGAACAGGAAGGGTTTCGGGACCTGACGGCGTTCCCCCGGACCTCTGGAAAGCGCTAGGGTCTGACGCAGACGCCCGCGATGTTCTACTCAATATTTGCAATGTGTACTGGAGGGAGAAGACCGTGCCAAAGCAGTGGAAACATTTGAGTGTATCCACTGTGTTCAAAAAGGGCGACGTGTCTCTGCCAGGGAACTACCGACCCATATCGCTCTTGTCTGTTGGGTACAAAGTAGTCGCCGCCCTCGTCCTGCACCGCATGGTAGAAGGAGTTGCGGAACGCTTGCGACCAACGCAATTCGGATTCTGAAAACACCGTGGAGCTAGCGACGCATATTTTCTGGTGCAGAGATTGATCGAGAGGGCATGGACGACCAAGGAAGGATGCTTGTCCGTGCTGCTGCTCGACTGGTCAAAGGCGTCCGATCGAGTGGACGCGGCTGCTCTGGTCATCACCTTATCCTGGTTTGGCATCCCTGATGAGTACAATTGTTTTAAAGGCTCGAGGGGCCTAAGGGATCTCAGGAACCCCGCGGGTGCTCAAGGCCTCGGACGGCGATTGGCGAACACCCTCCCGTGGCAACAACCCGAGGGTCGCAAGCCGACGGCGGAGCAACAAAAACTCGGCGAACGAGCGGGCGAGACTAGGCCAGACTGAAGAGAAACGTGGAGAACTCAGACTAGAAATAATGCCTCGATCGTTCCACGAGCGCACGCCCTGACACGTGCATCGACCTCGTTGTGCAAAGCCCCCCGTGTCAGGCAAAATGCCGTTTGTGGGGACGGGTTGCAACCGGAACAACAATCAACACACAAACTGAGCCGAGCAAGAATGGCGTAAGAGAGTTGACAAAACGAAGGTATACAGTTCAAGCCTACAGCCCCATAGCAGGTCGTGAACTACCACGTGCATACGTGATACGGGGGAAGCATCTTCAATGCACCCAGAATGCAAACTACGGAACAAGATTGGGCAAGACTAAATGGGGAAAAAGAGTGGGCGGCCGCGCCGACGGGGCGCGACCTGCGGGCTACGCGCGCGACCCGCGCAGACGGGACGGCGCCAGCGATCTGGCGCGGAGGCCGCCCACGGAGGCCGAGCGCCTCACCCCGCCACCATGAGGAGGAGAGCAAGGGAGGGGCGGGAGGGAGGACGGAGGGAGGGAGGGGGGAGGCTGCACGCTCATGCCGAGCGCTCGGGGCCTCAACAGCCACAGATAAATCTGCCGGCTGCGATCGACAGCTCGGCACCTCGAATCCGAGGGGAAAGGACGAGGCGGAAGGAGGAGGAGGAGGAGGAGGAGGACGGGGGGAGGGAGGGGGGGAGGTAACATGCTCTTGCCGAGCGCTCTGGGCCTCCACAGCCACGGATGAATCTGTCGGCTGCGATCGACAGCGCGGCACTTCGAATCCGAGAGGGGAGGAGGCGAAGGAGGAGGAGGAGGAGGAGGACAGAAGGAGGGAGGGGGGAGGCTGTATGTTCTTGCCGAGCGTTCTGGGTCTGGGTTTTTTACAGCCACGGATGAATATGTCGGCTGCGATCGACAGCTCGGCACTTCGAATCCGATGGGGGGAGGACGAAAGGAGGAGGAGGAGGCGAGGGAGAGAGAGACTGATACGAAACACCCCAGCAACGTATCATCTAACCCCGCGCGCTGAGCGACGGAGAAAATAAATCGCACCCCAGGCCGGGGAACGCAGCACGCTGGCCACATTACATAGCTGTAACAACTATGAGAGCACAAGCCCCAAACCCGAACCAGCGATACGTAGCAAAGCGAAGCGGGCACGACGTCGAACCCCCGAGGCGCGGGAGCGGGTCCAACAGCAAGCGGGGGAGACACAGGAGGGACGGGGCGCCGTCCCGAGCCGTGGCCATGGTGTCGAATCCCGAAGCATCCGCGAGCGGGTACCCAGGGTCTCGCCCACCGGCCAGCCTGCAGCAAGGCACAGCCCCCGAGGGGGGGAGGAGAACGCCGCGGATGCCTCCCATAATCATGGGGCATGTCAGCGGCCGCCGTGGAGGGAGCGGGAAGGGCGGGAGGAGCGGAGAGACGAGCGACAACGACGACGAAAACGACGAGGACGACGGACAGCAGGAGGGACCTCGGCCTCGCGAAAAAAATATGAATCACCACAGGGAGCGAATCGACCCCGAGATTCGCACCGAAGCTGCACTTCACGGAGGAGGAGGAAGAGGAGGAGGAGGAGGAGGCACGCACCACGTGGCGCGACGGGAGATCCGAGGCGCGGGCAGCTACTATATGGAGCGCCCTCCAGGGGGAGGGACTTACCAGGGCCTGGGATGGAACGCGCGCCACCGTTCAGAAAGGGGAGGGGGGGCCATCAAATTTTTTGCGGCGCCCACCCTGGCCAGGCGGTCTACGCGGCACCCGACAAGCCCCCCCCCCCCCACATTAAATCGGATCGAGTGGCTTCCCCGTCCCGTGCGCGGGTGGAGGCCACGAGACGCGTGCTTAATCTTGGTCGCCTGGGAACTCCGAGTCGACGGGTGCAGGGAACGACCAAGACAGCGCTTCTCAAGCCCACGGAGCAAACCTCCTGGGAGGATGACGTGGGCTGAGCACAACGAACAAAAGGCCACTCGGCCCGCCTGCTCCATCTGGTGGCCCAGGGACACAAACCGAGCGGTGAGGGTTTCAGTCGGCGGCACCTGGGCCAGGTCAAAAACGGACCCCAGGGACCGAGCAGCAGCCTCTAGCGCCGCAGGCGCCGAAGAAAAAACCATCCCCTCCTCATCTCGC